CAAAGCAACAAATACGTCTTCCGTCTAAATTTCAAGGAGATGAGATGGAGATTGAGAGACATCTACGGTCATATGAGCAAGAATGAGCCATCTACCATTACTTCTGGTTTGACCGGAAGTGACGTCATTTCGACGACTTTTAATGTTCTCCTTAGCTGCTACATGTCATTTTGAACAACTTTGCTTCTAGGATGTTATACAAATTCTCAATTCTTTTTGAAATATAAGGAAAACATTTTTGGCCCTTCTAGCTCCCTAATTTTAGGGGCCAGCCCCTTATTGTTGATATCCTTTGAAAGATCGTAACATTCTACACAACTTTTGTTCTATATGTTTTAACAAAATATTTTCAAGTCAAGAGATATTCTCTAAAAAATGCTAAAAAATTTGATATTCTCAATATGACTCTTTTCGGAGCATACCGAGCGCCAACGTGCGGCACTTCCGGGAAAAATGATCTACTTAGTACAAATCTATTAACGTTGCTCTATCATCACTGAAAATATCAAGTTCCTATTACAAGTGGTTTTTAAGAAAATGAGCGGACAAAGTGAACCTCTAAAAATCACTAAATCGCAGAAATCTCCGGACTGGAAGTGACATCATCAAAATAAAAAAATATATGTCTAGATTTTTTTATGTTCTACCATACCTGAAAGTTTCATGAAAATCAAACAAGCCATTTCCAAGAACTTGCGTGCACAAAATCGGTAGGAAAAAAAACAATAATAAAACTAGAAAGTCTGCTATTGCAAGCAATAGCGTATGTCGCCCCAAACTGGCATGTGAAAATAAAGCATTACTCAAGAAAAAAAATTATTAGAGAAAGACGACACATCAAAAACATACTTGCTTCATACACTATAAGGAATGTCAAAAATTTGGTTTTAATATATTTTATGATAGTTGTGCAAATTCATTTCATTTCTTAAATAAGGTAGCAATGCTCAATAAATGTTTAACTTGTATAACAATACTGTATAAAGAAAGAAATATTGTTTTCTTATAATTTCCTAAAGTATTATCTGTTAATTAGATTTTAAAATACATTGCATTATGTCATGAAATTGACATCAGAAATCAAATGGAAATTAAATAGACATTTCATTTTTTCATCACTAAAGCAATACCTGTAAGCTTGGACAACCATCATCTCGTATCAGTCCTTTCAGTACTTTGATGAAAAGAAACTTCTGATAGCATACAATGGTCACGTGACCGCGACTTTTCTTAAATCATTTGTTCCTTACCTGGCCTCAGCGACAAACTTTGCAAAAATAAAATATCCCATGCACAACTAGGGTTGGTGATTTTTATTTCTGTAAAGTTTCATGAAGATTTTGAAAGGCATCTACGAGAACGCTCAAGTACAAAACTAAGGTGAACCAAAATACGACTTCGTTCCGGTAGCTGAAGCGATGGATCTGCTCCAATTTTTTTGCGGGAAACAATTTGATTTAGTAGAAGGAATAAACCTTTAAAGTTTCCAAAAGATTGCTTGCGTAGTTACTGAGAAAAATAGAAATTAAAGAATTTTCACTTTTCGTCCATTTCCATGGCAACGGTAGGAATTTAGAAAAATTTGAATGTTGACTGCACACCTAGAGTTTCTAATTATAATTTCTGTAAAGTTTCATCAAGATTGTCCAAGCAACCTCTGAGAGCATATGTGAGCATAATACTTTTTTCTGTTTTGTTTCTATGGTAACTGTGTGCGGCCAATTTCAGGTTTTTTTAAAAATAGAAATTACTTTGACACAATGCAAGGAATCATCCATTAAAGTTTCAAAATGATTGCTTGAGCAGTTACTGAGAAAATCGAAGTTAAAGAATTTTCACATTTCCTCTGTTCCCGTGGCAACAATTGACAGTTTGAAAATTCTAATTGCGAATCGCACAACTACAATTACTGATCATCATTTCTGTAAAGTTTCATGATGAATGTTCAAGGGACCAGAGAGAACACTCCAGGACAAAATTCGTCACTTTTCGCATGTTTCCATGGCAATGGTAGCCATTTTGAAACTGAAAGTCTCGACTGCACTAGTACAACTAGTGATCGTCTTTTGTGGAAAGTTTCGGGAAGATTGTCCCAGCCATCTGCGAGAAAAATCCCGGACAAGGTTATTAGGCGTACAATAGCAATATGTCGCCCGACTTCGTTCGGGGCGACATAAATAGTGGAAAAGAAACCTAAGAATAACAGTAAGGTCTTCTCCTGAAGACAGAAGACCTTAAAAATCCTCTCAATTTAATATTACTTCATTTTACCCCATATTGACGTTGATGTTGACGTAGTTTACACTGTACACGTGTCAATGATCACTCAAAACTAGATGAAGTTTATTACTTTCTACTTCGGCAAAAAAGTCTGCTCTATATTTTGGTCTACCAGGGCTCTCAATTCTCTATAATTGGGGCCGTTTAATGGCCCCATTCCCAATGCAAAAAAAGGTACCTTTTTTCCCAAAAGCAAAGTGTAAATTTCCAAATTTTTTTTTATAGCAAAATATTTTTTTTTAAATCTTAATCAATGAGACTTAATCGCCAAAAGTGAAAGTAAAACAAACTAGTTCTGTGTTAGACTGTATAAATTAATGCATGCTACCTATATTCTTTAGCTGGTTCGGCTTCGATAAGAAACGAGGTTTTCACAATTTTCCCCAAAATGACAAAAATTTTCCCAATTTGAACGGCTCCGGCCCCAGTCCCAAAAAGTGGTGTGAGAGCCCTGTCTACCAACAAAGGTGAAATAATATGCATATCACAAAAGTTAACTTTGTCTGATAGGCCAGCCGTTGACAAAAAAAGTATAAATGAATATGCGAGAAACATCACCTTTTTATAGATCTTTTCATAATTTATTGCAAGTATACGGCAAATTGATAATCCTGTATTGCATGAATCTATTAAAATTCACGCTCTACAAGAGTTGATAAAACCGGAACAAAATTAATTTTTTGTAGTTCCTTAAAGGATAGACTACTGTAGATTCCTTATTTTTCGCGAGTACTTAATATCGCGAAATGGTTCTTTGCTGCCAAATAGCGAGAACAATAATTCGCGAGCGACCGATTGATTAAGAGATTTTACATGGATTTCAGCCACATAAAAATAAAAGCGAGTAATTTTATTTCGCGAGTGGTGCTTCTCGCGTAATTACGCGATAATTAATTCCTCGCGTATATTTAGGAATCTACAGTATTTTCTTTAATTTATAGATAAAAATAAGATTAAAAAAAAAAAAAATTCTACTGATTGTATGTAAATTAACTAATTATTAAAATGTTTTAAGGAAATTACTGCTGATTATTGTGGAAAAAATATTGTGTAAGAGAGACAGCAGTCCCCCTCCCCCCCTCCAAAATAATAAGCTCAAATAGTTAAATGTACACGTAATACATTGATTGATTGATTGTATATTGTTTAACATCCCTTTCGAGAAATTTTCACTCATATGGAGATAAATAAATTGCCGGTGGAGAGCTGCAAATTTTTTCCTTTGCTCGGCACTCAGGGCCATTGAGCAGGGGATCTTTTTCGTGCCAGCACCTACTGTGACACGGGACCTCGGTTTATACAGTCTCATCCAAAGGACCGGTCTCCATGTCCCACAGTGGGATTCGAACCCGCGATGTAAGGATCAACTCATTACTTCGCGACTCTAGAGCAGACGCTCTAACTACTGCGCAACGCAGGCGTCTGTAATACATTGTATTTGCATGTATTCTAATTAAAGCGTTCGCCAAGAGATTAGTAACATATTTAAGATTTGCAGAATTAATTTGTTAATTTATTTAAAACTGTTAATTTTAATTTTCTAGAATTCAGAATTTCAGGTACAGAATGAAGTTGTCACTCAGGGTTTCTACTATATAATAGCTATGTTTTGTAGATACTGGTAGTAATTTATAGCAACATAAAAAAATTGCATGAAAGGTCTTAATTTTAATCAGATTTAAGAACATGTATGTTAATTTTAAAATACCCCCATTTTTGACAATGTTCATGACTTGAGTAAAGTTTAGTCTATTAAATTCAATTCTTAAATAAGCCAAAAAATATTTGCGATAAATCATTTATGGCATAATATGGATTATAGACACAAATCTTCGTCACTGCGAGCTCTTAAAGCAACGCCTGGGCGAAGAGAAAATTAGGACTTTACACATTGATCCAAATGAATTTTTTTCCGCAGTTACCTGTGGTCCCATAATGCTTAGCGAATTGCATCTCACCACAAACTACGTTCTCGCAGTAGCAACAAAAATTCGACAAAAAAAAAAACTCACCTTGCTTTAATGAATACGTATAGCAGACATATAGTAGATCTAACGTTCTTGATTAAAATTAGCACTGTTCAGACTTCGTTTTGATAATGCAGCAAACATACGACGTCATATGACGTCAGAGTCTAGACGTAGCAAATGCAACGTGCAGTTTGACGAGCCCGATCTGAATTAAAACTGAAAGGTATCTGCGCTCGCTTTAAGGTATCACACCGGTAATTGACCAATCAAAATGAACTTAGTCAATTGTAGTTCCATACATAATAAAGAAATATTTTTTTGTTGTGAGAATTTTTTTAAATTTCCCTTATTCTATTTTTACATTTTTGGTATCTGTGCTTAGGATATTTTATGTACTTTGTAAAATATTAAAGGTTTTTGACAGGAACTATTTCTTTCGGGGCATAGGAGGCCACTTCCTGGGGTGCACACAGGATGTTTATAAACACATTGAATACACGTGGTTTTGAGGGTATTCCTGTTTGCGGATGGAAAAAATCAGAAAATGCCGTGTAGGTACCCTATTTTTTGGTGTCAGCTGATGTGACTGGTAACGTTTAACACTTCCTGCTAAATATTTTTTCATGAATTCGAATACCTGATTTTTAATGATTTTTTATTCTATATAGAATTACATAGTGAAAACAATTACCGGTGTGATACCTTTAACGGTCGCACCGTCAACATATTAACTAGCCTAGCTATCCTTACCTTGGAGAAACTCATTTACACGTGTTTGGCAGAGAGATTCCTTCAATCAAAGTCCACAGTTCTTAAGACCATGGGATGGCGCTGCAAATTTTAGTTCCTGTGATAACGATTTTGACTATTTGCCATGCGCTAGTGCCTTTAGGTCGTAAAGAGTCAAAATCTAAATAAATTTTTGCGGCAACATTCCCAATAAAATAGAACTTCGAACCCGATGCAATATAGCCTAAAGTCGAAAATAGTTAAGTTGAACGGAGTATCGTCGACAAGTTATCATGACAGATCGGATAAAGCTTTCTTAAACTGTTAGAAGGAAAAGGTAGCTTTTTTTGCTTAAACTATGGCACTATACAAAACTAACAATTCTTTAAAATACCGCAAAAGAAATGATTTCGGTTTGAAACTATAGAAGAGCACTATAGTAATACTACATTAAAACCGCTGGCGCTTCAAAAATACATGTATCACTTTTAAGATTGGCTATAGGCCTAATAATGAATTAATATCTACATTTCATTGATTATCTTTTATATTTTCTCCCATGGAAGGCTGCAAGCTGGTCGCGATATCGAAAAAAAATACCATCCGCGGATCTAGAGAGGGGGGGGGGGTCGGGAGGGGGAGGCGTCCGGATCCCCTGGAATTTGCAGAGTTATTAATTGTATATTCTAATCCAAGTAAAAGTGACCATGGACCCCCCTCCTAAAATACGTGGACCCCTTCTCCAAAACGCGGATTTATGTAAAATTGGTATGAAAAGTCATAGATATGAATCTTTAAAAGTGAACGACTCATGAATTGATATCGACAATTCATTGATTATCTTTAAATTTATATTTCCTCCCCTGGAAGGCTGCAAGGTGGTCGGGATATCGGAAAATAGTATACCGTGAACTCTAACTGTTTAAAGAGTCTTACTGTCTGCGTACATGTATGTACAATGTGTATTTTTTCTTCAGGCCCAATTCCAAGATCTTATAATAAGTAAAGAGTTGGGGTACCTTCGAGGTCCAAGACAGGTCAAGGAGACCAATTTGTCCTGTTCGGGGTGGGGCGGGAGCATAGCCCTCTATGTTTCTATAGTATAATTAATATGTTGGGAAAGGGCGTATTAAGTTTTTAGAACTTTTGCCCAATGCCAGTTGTATAGTTTATAGTCAATTAAATATGTTAAATCAGTAGATCTTATTTTGACACATAAACATGATAAATGGCTGTATTTTTATAGTTTTTGCATTGATATACAACAGTGAAAACTTGTTCTCCGTTTTAGTGGGGCCTTTAGAATCCATGCATGTTATGCGTAATGACTTGTGTCCCGTATTTCTCAAGTTAAAAAAATAGAATTAAAACCACCACGCATGGAGGGGTAGATGGGGGGTAGGAATTTTCCCGGGTGAGGGTGGGGGTGGGGTATTTATCACAGTAGACTTGGAAATTTAGACTTTGAAAATATATATATTTGAAAAAAAAATCAAATTAAGACAAAACTTGAAAAGGGGGGTCCTTTTCAATCTTGTAATTGGCAAAGGGAAAAAAACATAGGAACTTGCAGAAGCAAATTAACCTTACTTAGTATCCTTTTTCCAAGGGGAGGGGTGGGGTTGGAGAAACTTTCCTGATTCAATTTGCTACAGATATTGGTATTTGACTCTCCTTACCCTTTTAAAGGGCTTCGTGTTTCCTAGGGAAGGTCAAACGTACTTCTTTGTTAATTTTACATAGAAATTTAATAATTCTGAACATTCCTGGGAAGGCCGAACCCCCTTCCCCCCAACTTCTATACAGATCCCCCCATGGATGTGGACTTATTACCAGGGTGTTATTTGAAGTTAGTCAATCCTTCTTACTCCTAGAAGATTAGGACCATGATGGAGTTTGGACTGTGATGAAAAGCTACTTTTCGAGCTAGAAAACATTATGCAGAACTTCCTACCCTCACATGCATACATTAATTAATTTTGCTGTAAATCACCCATTTCTTAAATAGGGTATTGTCCTTTCTGACATATTTTATTTTATCAAATAAATTCTGCAATATGACTACTTTAGTCAAAGGTCTTAAAGTAAATGCTGAGTATATTTCCAAGGTTGCTTTGGCATTTAATCACAAATTGTATAATCTCGAACACTCCTTTGCCAATGTGTCTGAAATTTTGATAAACCAAGTGAATAAAGCTACTATGCTAAGACAACAATATGACAAACTGGAAAATGCTGTTCAAAGTTTGTTAGAAAGGAAAATAAGTCCATTTTTAATTCCAAAGCATTTTATGGGTAGAATTATCTCTCAGGTTAAACACATATTAAGAAAATCCTACAAAAATTTTCATCTTGTTCATGTGAATCCATCTTATTATTATGCAAATGGAAAATTTATTTTTGCTAGGAACAAACATGATTTGTTTATAACCATTAAGTTTCCTATTTCCTCCCACAGAATGCCCTTCCAGTTGTATAAAATCATAAGTCTTCCTGTGCCAATCCAAAAATGTAACTTCAAAAATGCAGGCTACACAATTGTTGTCCCTTCCAGATTACTTTGCGATAACTGGTCATCATGATCAATTTGTGTCATTTAAAGTTCAAAAGATTTAGTAAATTGTGTTCATGGATCTACTGTGTTGTGCAACACTTTGGCTTTAACTCCCATACCAGTACCAGACTGCACTATGGCCTTATTTTCAAACAACATCAAACAAGTTAAAGAATTGTGTAATTTTAGATTCATTCAGACTTTACTTCAACCCAACATTATAGAACTGACACCTACTTCTGTTTTATTGTACAATACACACACAATTGCTTTAGACTGTCTCAAAGAAAAGAAAGTTTTAAAAGGCTGTGCATTTCGTGTAGTACATATTCCATGTATAGATGCTCATTATTAACTCAGACATTATTTTATGCCCCACGACTGGTCAACTGCTACAACTCAACTTCAAATTATTCGATAATTCATCCTGTAAGTTTAGCCTTGTTACAAGAGTTCTTCGATGAATCAAAATTAAATCATATATTTGGAGATACATTCTTTTCAACACCAATCAATATGTTAATACCAGAATTTAAATTTTATAATCATTCCATTGACACAGTTTTGGCTAATGATCATAAAGAACATTTAAGTTTAAAGAAAATTCTAAAGCTGTCAAAAATTATCAAAAGATTTTCAAAAATTTAACAGAACCTATAGTGGATGGCGCAATAATAATTCCAGAAGAATGGCCAAGTAACTCAGATATCATAACATTGGTTTCACTAGGTGTAGCTGGTACATGTGTGGCAGCATGCATTGTATTGTGTGTCAAAGTTAGAAAAATATCGACGACCTTGTTAATTTTACAAGAGGTACAACATGCATCCTCTGAGCAGATTCCTTCCTTCATATATAGAGAGGTGGTGAGCACTACACCTCCCACTGAATCTACACTGTGGATAAAGGAATTCTCTGAGATGCATGTTTTGGTTCTTCTTAGTGCAGTTGCACTGATTATATCAGTCATAGTCTTCTATTTGTGTTATAGGTCAAGGTCAGATAGAGGTTCCACTATTACATTAGAGTTAATATCGGGTGGGGATTGTATCATGATCCCTATTTTGTCATTATCGTCCTTCATTCTGTAACATCACACAGCCTACAATCACTGACATCTCTCCATTAAATCTTCCTTCCTGTGAATTGTTGGCTACATGGTCAAATTTTACAGTTACTGACAAACGCACAAATACCACCATAACTATTCCATCAAAACTCAAACTCAATCCTTTAATGCATTACAGACTAGTGAAAAGAAGATGGGTGAACAAGGCGGGCGAAGTGCCTATAGTGCGACAAACATGAAGTGAAAAATAAAATCTCAATTATATCCAAAATTTCTTTGATATTTCATCTAAAATTAAAGTATACTTTATGTAAATTCTCTATAATTTACAAAAATCTCACAAAGACTGAAATTATTTGCCTACAAAATAGCATACACACAATAGAGAGGACAAAAAGGGTCATTTTCTCACACTTTAAAAAATTTTTCCGATATGAGTGGGTCTTCGCTCCATTTTTTTGAAAGTTAATCCTAAAAGTTTGCATAAAAATATGCATTTTTTGGTTTACAAAAAAATGGAGCAAAGACCCACTATACATTAAAAGTACACTTTTATGACAAAGCATTCGCATCTTTCCGAAAATTACTTGAAGTCCATTAAGTCAAGGGTCATATCACAAACATGATTTAAATGCCGCTATTCATCAGGAGCTGTGTAGCGTAGTGGGTAGCGTGTTAGTCTCAAAGCAATATAATACTCCGGATTTTTATTGTTAGGGGTTCGAATCCCACGAAAACTATTTTATTTTTTTAATAAAAGAATAATTTTTCCGATATTTTTTTTTCTCAGAAATGTTTTGTTGATCATAATTTCATAAATTTCAATAATGAGAACTTTACTTTAAATACTTAATTCACAAATCGAATATGATTTTTTTTAATATCTGAAGCTATAGGCATTCTGCACGTCTTGTTCACCCATCTTCTTTTAAAACAACCATTTAGTGCATATATTGTTATTGTGCACCACAATTATGCATTTCATCTTAAAGACACAACACTGGCATAACATACAGGCACATCTCCTGAAATGACTTACTTACAAAAAAGATTAAAGTTCAAGACATTGGTTTCAAAAAAATATTTTTTTTTTTTCACGTATGTCAAATCATATTCAAGAATCGCAAAGCTCAGTATTCCTTTTTTTAAATTATCTTTAATTAATGCATTGGCATTTCAATTACAGGTTTTTTTTTTTGGTTTTTTTTTAATTTTTTTTTTTAAAGAAAAAATGGTTTGTTCAACATAGCAGCATATGTTCCCTTTCTTTTTTGCAGAATATACAAGGTAGCATTTTGTTTTTTTCATAATATGCAATTTTTTGGGGTAACTAAGAACAACTAGTTCTTGTATATAGTACTTCTGCTGTATTGCATTACATTTTTTTTTTTGTAGTTCTGTTTTTCATTTTTCTTTCTTTTCTTTTCTTTTGTTGTTTTTGCTCA